TGGCATATATATATACATATATATATATATATATATATATATATATATATATATATATATGATTATGTGGTCCTGGCGCCATCTTGTGAATAGACAACCTCAACCGTCTTTGACTAATGGACACCGACGTCTCTCAGAAAAGATAAATATTTTAAAATAGGCACTATCCTGTAAATAAACTGCATAGTTTCAATCTAAACATATACATTCTCAACTAAAAAAGCCTCAAAAGTACATTATGTTGCCTCACAGTAGGAATATTTGTCAAACTGTAGTGTCTCTCTGCTTGTATGTGGGCTAAGTAATACACAAAGGTGAAGAGGCCTTTGTGTGCTGTTACTGGCAACATATCTCTCAGCTATCAGCTAATCAGATTCAAGAACCAGACAGAACTGTTGCATATATATATATATATATATATATATATATATATGGCTCCAGATGGTCAGTCCTCCATAGCACCTTGGTCCCACATTGGTTTCAAAGGAGCGCTACCCTGTACCAAAATGGCAGCTCTATTGACACATTCATTCCAATAGACAACAACAGCGTAGGCGACATCTAATGTAAATATCTATGGTAGTCTTTTTTAAAAGGTATTTATGTAAATATCTAGTTCTTTAAGTACCATTGAAAAAAACTGCTAAATTTACAACGATGGACATGAAACTTAGTAAGCATAATCAAAAGGTGATATATTTATATAGTAAATTTAAATCAGCAGATTTACATTCATAATTTTAGATACATTCCACCATAAACTTTCTGTATACTGACAATGGCAGAAAATATGAAGTACTGTTTCTGGGTATAATGACCAGAATGAACAATTGACATTCATGTCTTCAATAAATTTGGTTAAAAAATGCTTAACAGGGCAAAATTTGTGTAATACACTGTAAAAACCACAAATTTATGGTAACTCAAACTATTTGAGGAACTACTAAAAACTATTTGCAACAAACCATTTAAGTTCAAAAACTGATAATAATGAGTACTGCAAACCTAATCTATTTTAGTACATGAAGCGATTTAAGAACAGTAAAACCAAATTAATGAAGAGAACTTAAACCAACTGAGCACTGTAAAACCCAATAAGTTAAAGCAACTTAAACCATTTGAGGAAACTGATTGCTACAAGTACTGTGAACTTACTCCATTTAGGTTGAAGTAATGAGGTATTTAATTAACTCATTACCTTCAACACGGAGTTCAAAACTTTTCAAATGAGTAGAATTAACTTTCAGTCAATTTTAAGTTAACTACACTCATTTCACTGGATAAAGTTGACTGTTTGGTTTTACAGTGTATCTTAAATGAAATGTATTCGATTTTATTTGTAATTAGATGTTTATTAGGTAACACACAAACGTTCCTACAATCAATATTTTGAAGAAACATAGACTAATAAAAAAGTAACATAGTTTACTAACCAGTTCTTTTTGGAATAAAAGACGTATGCTCTCAGATTTACTTATTTCTGACTCTTAGTGCCTCACTAAGGTGCTTAGATGAGATTAAATTCTGGCTATGCCACAATTGTTTTTAACATTAAGTGATGATAAGACAGAGGTGATGGTTTTCAGCCCTACTGATAACATTTAGGCCAAATGCCTAGATCTGGGCTGCTTACCTGCCTTCCGTGTGCGAAATCTGGGTGTCATCCTTAATGAGTAATTGAAACTAGACAAGCAACAGTTTAGTTATTGGCTCCAGCTTTTATCAACTCAGCTTGCTGTCTAAAGTAAAAAAAAAAATCTTAAATACCACCATACTAGAGATGGCGGTCCACACTTTAATTACATCACGGTTAGACTACAGCAATGCACTTTACTATGGCTTTTCAAAATCTTGAATTTATCACCTTCATGGAAAGGCGAAAATGGAAAGACGTCTGCAGATCGCGGTCGTTTTGCCTTTACGGATTCATTTGGTTTTATCAACATACAGAAAGAGACAGAAAAATATTATAAACAATCAGAACATCACACAATTTCTGCAGAAGTACAGACCAAAAGTACTAGTGAGAAAGCACCCTTACACTCCCTTAAAATCTCTTAGGGTGCTTTGACACTAGCACTTGTGATTTACACCAGAGTACATTTGACATTATTTGCAGAGTCCGCCTGAAAGAGGTGGTCTGTGGTACGGTTCATGCAAACTCTGGTCTGGTTTACTTCTGATATAAATGCAATCGTACCAAATAATGGAAGTAAACTTCCAACAGTACAACAAACTACCGATTTCATAACATTCATTCGAGTGTGTGTGTCTGTGTATCATGTACTGTACCTTTGTGACAAGCGGGACTGAGCCAGGGCAATCACAGTGATAATGTCTGCTTGCCGCCTTTAAAAACAGCTTCTGCAGACATCACATTCTGACATCACATCATGTTCTAAACGTTTCTATTTTTGCAGCAGTCAGATGCGAGTCGCTTTCTTTATGTCCAAAACTAGAAGATTCAGTTAAAGCCGAACGACCGTGATGTGCGTACGTCTTTCCACTTTGGCACTTTGCTTTTGTGTTCATCACCTAGCAACAACCGTACACACAACAACAGATGTCAGATCAAAATCTTTTAGTTCCTCAGTCCAGACTGAAACGTCGAGGGGACAGAGCTTTCTCTGTGGTGGGTCCTTGATTATGGAACACTTTGCCCCTTGAGATTAGAACAGCTCCATCTCTATGTATTTTTTAAGTGACTTTAAAAAATTTACCCATTTAGCTTGGCTTTTTAATATTATTTTAATAGTCCTTTCTAAAGTGTTCCTTCATTTTGAAATGTATTCAGTCATTTGTCTTATAGCTTATTTTTATGTTTTGATAGTTTGTCTTTTTATTTTACTTTGCTTACGTACAGCACTTTGATCAGTCTTGTGGCTGTTTTTAAATGTGCCTTATAAATTAATTGACTTGAGCTATACTTTTTTGCTAAAAAAAAAATATACTATATAACTCAACAGTCAACTTTATCAAATGAAATGAGTGTACTCGTATGAAAAAAGATTTGAACTCAGTGTTAAAGGTAATGAGTTAATTAAATACCTCATTACTTCAGCCTAAATGGATTAAGTTCACAGTACTCATATAGATTAGTTTTTTTTACTTTTATTAAGTTGCCTTAACTTATAGGTTTTACAATACTCAGTTGGTTTGAGTTCTCTTCATTTATTGGGTTTTACTGTGCTCAAACTGCTTCATTTACTCAAATGGATTAAGTTCACAGTACTCATTAAGATTAGTTTTTGAACTTAAATGGTTTGTAGCGATCGGTTTCCTCAAATGGCTTGAGTTTCCTTAACTTACTGGGTTTTACAGTCCATATTTTGTCACAGAAAGTATCAGCAGAGTGAAGATAAGAGGCATTCTTAAAGTATGAAAGACATAAAGAAACAATACTAGAAGAGATCGCTCCAATTACAGAGGCACATTGCTTAGAGGATACAGAAGAGTCAAAGTATGAAAGAAAGTCATAATATGTCATTAAGTATCCGTGATTATTTAACAACTCCTCTACCAGAATAATACCTATCAAACTATGTTTGTGTAGTACTAAGTTGTTGTACATTAATATATGTTCAATACAAAAACACCCACACAACTAGGAGATGATAGTGACTTCCTGTTTGTGGAAATAATGGGCTATATGTACAGCTAGTGTTTTTCAGCCAATGATGAACTACTGGCGAAAGCTTTATGTAAATATTTTCAATGGGCTTCTTGCACAGCCAGAGTTTTAAAGCCAACTATAAACGTCCAGTGAAAGCTTAATGTGAGTACTTTGAATTTCACAAGGTTGCTTTTACCGCATCAAAGTTGTAATGTATTTACAATACATTAAAGACTCAAGCATTCATTTAGTTGTTCAAGCATTAAACGAGATGAAAGAAAGTTGTAACCACTAGCGCCATTAGGATCAGCAGGCGAGCACAGACACACCATTGAAAAAAACTGTGGTAAATCTTATTTTGAAGACATGGCGGGAGAAATAGAATTTAATGCAGTGCTTCTTGTATGAGATGAGACACATTAATGTCGTATATCTATCAGGCAGTAAAGATGGCTGATTTTTAAACAAATCAGATCTTAAGTGACAATTTTGTCATGGAAAGACTTGAGCACTTGAGCTGCCTGACTGAAAATTCAAAGTCCGTGTGTCTTTAGCCCATTTCATAAGGTTCCTTTTACAGCATTGATGTTGTAATGTATTTAAAATATAATTAGCTTAATAGACTTAAGCATTTATTTTGGTTTTTAAAGCGTAAAAAAAGAGACGAAGACCGGTTAAACCCAGGCACCGCCATCAGCAGCAGTCTAGCGCAAAAACTCCATTGAAAATACTAGAATAAAATTAATTTCCATATTTATATAATTTATTTCAGTACTTCTTTTTTGGTCTGATACCCACTTTATATCGTATCTTAGCCAGGCAGTGAAGATCGCCATTTCTTTTTTAAAGAAATCAGATCTAAAACGTGCCGATTTTGTAGGCGATTAGCTTTACCTTGGCAGTAGCAAATGCATTCAGAGGAGGATTCACACAACATGTTATTCATCTAAATAGTGTGAGGATCAGCCTGTGATCTAATTCTGTGACAGACAGAAACGCTCCACTCCCCATCTGAAAGACAGAAGATAGAAACACATGATTTAAGAATATGAATTTGTTAAAATGTTTGTTCAAATGTAGATCCAGGACTCTTCTTGAAGTCAATACTAACCTGTTGCTCTCAGTGCTGCTGTCTGTCCTCATAGTGCTGCGGTCTGTGCTCACAGTGATGCTGTGTGTGTTCTCAGTGCTGCTCTCTGTGCTCACAGCTGCTGTCAAACATGGAAAATAATGTTAATGGTGTGTGTGAATGAAGCACATAAGAATGAGGAATCAATCATTGTGTCAATTAGTTATAATCATATAATCACTGTTTTGATTTCTTTATGTCAGTAAGAGTAATAATAAGACGAGGCATAACATGCCAAAACAATCCTAGCTGTTTTACCTTCAGTGACTGTGAGCTGAACTAAAGTCTCTTGTTTTCCTACACAACAGGAAAACCATCCAGAATCAGAGAGTGTCAGTCCAGTCATCAGCACAGTGAAGGAGCTTTCACCATCATCACTGATCTGCACTGATGAATTCTGGGATGTGTTAGTCGTCTTCTCTGTGAAACAGAAAATGTGGTGCAGATATAAAGACAAGAGCTGTGTATTCCTGTATCCAGAACTGTAGAAACACTGGATTCTGACATGGTCACCTTCATGTCCAGATACTCTGCTGCTTTTGACAGACACATCAGGAGCTGAAACACACAGACAGCAGACATTAGAGATAGCTTGAGACTTAAGAACCAGAGATTCATGCTCTATTTGAATATGAATCTGGTTTCGTACCTGATTGAACTGAGAGATAAAGCTGCTTATTCTTATCCAGTTCAAGTTTTCCTCCGATCTCTACAGCACACCAGTAATATCCAGTGTCTTCTTCCTGCAGGTTCCTCATAGCCACAGTAAAGAAACTCTGATCTGGATGATCAATCACTGACACTTTTTCTTTGGTTTCTTTAGTATACGCCAGAATAGAGCAATAATTGAACGCAGCATTGGTATTAAAGCACCAGTATTTCTTGTATCCTGTGTATTTTCTGTCATAATAACATGGAATAACAACAGATCCTCCAGTCTGAATGATTAACGCTCTGCTTGCTGATCCAATTTTGCACTCTGGATAAAGAAAAAGATCAATTTTGAGCATTCGAATCTAGATACATACAGTTAGGAACATAACTATTTGGACATCAACACAATTTTTAACATTTTTGGCTCTAAACACCAACACAGTGGATTTAAAATGAAACTAGACTTTAACTGCAGACTGTCAGCTTTAATGTGAGGGTATTTACATACAATCCAGGTGAATGTAAAGGCAAATGTGACTCCCACTTGTGAAGGGTCCAAAAGTAATTGGACAGAATAATAATCACAAATTAAACTTTCACTTTTTAATACTTTGTTGCAAATCCTTTGCAGTCAATTACAGTTTGACGCCTGGAACGCATAGACATCATCAGACGCTGGGTTTTAATCCTGGTGGTGCTCTACCAGACCTCTACAGCCAGGGGTTTTCAAATACGTCCGAATTCCATTCATACTTTTCACTTTCATACTGTATAGAACGTACTTTTCTAACGGCCTAGTAGTACGTTTAAATTCAAATGCAGTACCTACTGAGTAGTAGGCGGTTTCGGATGCAGCCTGAGTGTTTGGTGTGACCAGGTTAATATGGCCACCAAACAGGAAGTAACCAACGAAGAACTGACAGTCAGAATTTCGATGAGGGCTCCCTCTGCAGGTTGGATGAGTGGTTGTCAGTTCTGTTTGTTACATTTGCATGCCTGTGAAATATGAACTATAGTGTCTTTACGTTATACAGAATTGTAGTTTACATTTTTATACTTGAAATGGATACGTGCCTTTAAACTTTAGGCAAAGGGGTCCCCTGCAAGGAATCATCATATTTGGGGGTCCCTGAGATTAAAAAGTTTGAAAACCTCTACTCTACAGCAGTCTTCAATTCCTGCTTGTTCTTGCAGCATTTTCCCTTCAGTTGTGTCATCAGCAAGTGCATTGCATGCTCAATTGGATTCAGGTCAGGTGATTAACTTGGCTATTGCATAACATTCCACTTCTTTCCCTTCAAAACCTCTTGGTTGCTTTCACAGTGTGCTTTGGGTCATTTTCCATCTGCACTGTGAAGCACCGTCCAACGAGTTCTGAGGTATTTGGCTTTATATGAGCAAATAATATTGCCTAAAACACTTCCGAATTCATCTTGTCGATTTTGTCAGCAGTTGCATCATCAATAAATACAAATAAACCAGTTCCATTGACTTGCTTCACTGCTTAGGATCATGAGCAGTTCAATTACTTCTCCATACTCCTCTTCCCATCACTCTGGTACAAGTTGATCTTGATCTCATCTATTCATAGGATGTTGTTCTAGCACTGTGAAGGCTTCTTTAGAACTCTAATCTGACCTTACTGTGTTTGAGGCTCACCACTGGTTTACATCTTGTGGTGAACCCTCTGGTGTAGTCTTCTCTTCCTTGTTGACTTTGACACACATACATCTACTTCCTGGAGAGTGTTCTTGATCTGGCCAATTATTGTGAAGGCTGTTTACTTCACCAGGGAAAGAATTCTTTGGTCATCCACCACAGTTGTTTTTCGTAGTCTTCCGAGTCTTCCGGTGTTTCTGAGTTCAATGGTGCGTTCTTTCTTTGTAAGAAGGTTCTAAACCAGGAATCACCAAACTTGTTCCTGGAGATCCGGTGTTCTGCAGATTTAAGCTCCAACCCTAATCAAACACACCTGAACAAGCTAATCAAGGTCTTACTGTGTATACTTGAAACACCCAGGCAGGTGCGTTTAGCCAAGTCTGAGCCAAACCCTGCAGGGCACCGGACCTCCAGAAACGAGATTGGTGACACCTGTTCTAAACCGTTGTTTTGGCCATGTCTAATGTTTTTGCTGTATCTCTGATGTTTTTTGTTGTTGTTGTTGTTTTTTTTAGCCTAATGATGTTTTGCTTGACTGATAGTGACAGCTCTTTGACAGAGTTGACAGTAACAGATTCCAAATGATAATAGCACACTTGAAATGAACTCTGGACCTTTTATCTGCTCATTGTAATTGGTATAATGAGGGAATAACATACACCTGACCATGGAACAAATTAGAAGCCAATTGTCCAATTACTTTTGGACCCTTAACAAGTGGGAGGCACATATGCAAACTTTTGTTCCTACACTGTTCACCTGATTTAGATGTAAATAAATTAATAAATGAATAAAATAACATAGTTAGATCTCTTACAGTGGATAATATTTGTTATTTATTATGTCATGTATTTTAAGTTAAATGTTATGTAAATCAACTTTTGAAAATAACATCTAAACATTCTAGCAACTGTTTGTCACTAAATCATTTGTTCAAGAGATTCATTCAAAAATGCTGATTAATCCATAAAACAAGTGAAGCCTAATGAGCGAATCACTCTTTACTGCAAAAAAAGAAATTGCTGCAAAAATATATATATATATATATCTTGCCAGAACATCTAACCATTTTTAGCGGTCTATTCAGTTTTGTAGAAGAATCATTGGCTGTTTCTCAATATGCGTTCTTTTCTGTATTTCTGTTCTTGTCTCCTTTTAAAACGTCATCAACTGTCGCCGAAACACTGTTCTAGTTCAAAGTTACCAATTGAGCATCGTGTCAATGCCACAACCTACCTAAGTATTGTTACTGAACATGTCCGACCCATCTATTATGACCACAGTGTACCCATCTTCTTATGGCTACTTCCAGCAGGATAACACACAGGGGCGCCTCCAAGGGGTGGCCAGGGGTGGCCACGGCCACCCCTCGGTAAACTCTGGCCACCCCTGTGGCCACCCCTTTGGCCACCCCAATATAATTTTGCGGTTGACATTATTGATTTAAATGAACTAATAAATTCCCAATATTTAGATAAATAAATAAATAAATAAAATGCAGTCACTAAATTATTGTTGGTGTTACTGACGTAGCTCTCCCCCTCTGGTTCAATGCTGGTGAAAGCAAACTGACGCATGCGCGCGGAAAACCATTCCCGCGCGCCTCACGCACTCCTGTGTGAATCCCGGTTGGTTGTTTGCATGCACGCCGACATAATAGGCACCGCTCATGCGCCGTGAAACCGGAGTAACAGCCTTTTGTGTAGAAGTGTCGGCACGCAGCGAGTTTTGAAAGTCGGTTAAAGTTTATATAATATGATGATGATGATGATGATGTTACTTTCACTAAGCATGCCTTTAAAGCAGAAAGGAGGGATAATGAGTCAGGCAGGTAAGACTTCATAACATGATTTATCAGCCATGATCTGGTCTAAGACCACAGATAATTCTATAATACATTTTTTGTATTCTTTAGAATTGTCATAATTAATTTTCATGCAAAAGGTTTCTTAAGTGATCTTGGCATATCACTCCAGTTGTTGTTTTCCAGTAATATTTAGGACTGATTTCTGTTATTTATTCAGAATATTAATTGTATATTAATATTATTTGTATTTATTTAGAATAAATATAAATAAATTGTTATATTTATTGAATAACAAATCTAACAATTCAAGAGAGGTGGGGGTGTATAGGGTGGTTCGCCCAGGGTGTCATTTAAACTAGAACTACCACTACCCTCCCCGATCGTCCTTGACAGCACGCACACACCTTCAATAGACAGCAATGGCAATTTAATATTTACCTTAAGCTACAGTATATCAATAGAAGAAGCTGCATTAATAAAATGGTTCAAAAAGCAATATGGATAAATAATATTATTAGGTATAGTGAGTGTGTATAGTAATGCCTTTTGTTCAGTTTGTTCATTTGTTTGGGTTATTAATAAACTCATTATTCTTTCATTCATTTTCTTTTCGGCTTAGTCCCTTTATTAATCCAGGGTCACCACAGCAGAATGAACCGCCAACTTATCTAGCACATTTTTACACAGCGGATGCCCTTCCAGCTGCAACCCATCACTGGGAATAATAAACTCATTAATCTTCATTAATTTTAGACATGGCATATCTCGTATGATGTACAATAAAGGCACGTAAAAAAAGAAGTTATTTATACAGTATATGAAAAGTGTTTTTAAACTAAACATAGATTTTTATTTGGTTTGCACATGTACTTGCTGAATTATTTCAAGGAATAAATTGCAATATTTCAAGTAGAATTAATTAAATGAATAAAAACTACATTATTTCATTTACCAGAAACAAAAATATAACATTACACTGAATTCATTATTTTTTTGTGTGCCACCCCAAGATTTGGTGCGGCCTCTTCTGGCCACCCCTAAGAAAATTTTCTGGGGGCGCCAATGATAACACACCATGTCAATCCAATAGAGCACCTTTGGGATGTGGTGCAACGGGAGATTCGCATCATGGATGTGCAGCCGACAAATCCGCAGCAACTCAATGTCAATATGGACCAAAATCTTGGAGCAATATTTCCAGTACCTAGCTGAATCCATGCCACGAAGGATTAAGGAATTTCTGATGGCAAAAGGCGGACCAACCCGGTACTAGTAAGGTGTACCTAATTAAGTGGCCGATGAGTGTATGTTAGTGGTATATGCTGTTTGTCTTTGTTATCCAAATTGCTTAACATTATCTTTATTTCCTATCGTTTACATCTTGTACTTTATACTTGTATAATGTCCATTGTAGTTTATTACATCTGATTATCAAAGACTAATTGTAGCATTTTGAATTATAACCACTTTGAATAATAACCTATTCCCCCTCACATTTTTGTTTACATTTTTTTAAATAAAAAATATTGATTTATAATAATAATTATAAGTCTGTGCTTTGCATAATTTTATTGTTAATGTACAGCAAGATCGCTGAATCCATGGTGAGGTAAGGGGCATTATAAACTACTCGACTTGTGTCCTCAAAAGTTTGTTCTTCCGAACTTGGCAAGTCTCAACTTCCACGGACATGAATCTGAACTTTGCGTACTTGGTATTGAGAAACAGGCCACGATCTCCATTTTTAAACTAAGAGATGTGGATATTTAACTTGTGAACCCCTCATTGGTGTCAACGAGATCTAAACTGAACACGTCTCTTTAATATTATGAATTAATTTTAACTTTACCTCTGTTATTTGATGCTGCACATATAAGAGTAAAGAGATTAAGAATTAGTTAAAACAGAATTAAGCTGTTGAAATGCAAAAGTGCTGTGAGGAACAAATGTGAGCTGAGATGCGTTGATTTGATACTTGTAACATTGATATTAACCCAAATAGATTCAATATCAAATGACTCAATGAGGAAAATGACATTGCTGCCTTTTGTGGAACTGCTCACGTAAATCAACTACTGTTGGTGCAGATGGATTATTTTCTGCTACTGATACATCCTGCTTACAAATCTGCATTGACAAGTCAGGTCTTGCTCAATCTTTTGCTCTGTATAAAGTATCATAGAATAAAGTAAAGGCCAGATAACAAGTATAAAGGGCTATTGAAATACTGGTAACTTGACTTGATTATGGTTATTTGCCTCAAAGCATAATAATTACACCATAATCAGCACAATGCATGTTTAAAAATAAGTTAAAAGCAGAGAACACTTGCCTGTTATGAAGTAAAGGAAAAACACCATGATCGTCTTCAAATGGATGGTGCCTTGTTTAATAAGTTGCGATGTTTGTTCCCTCTGTATCTTCATTTTATTTTTATTAATACTTCAATAACAGCTTTTAACTCTGTGACATGCAGCCTCTCTCTGGTCTAAAGTCATAATTGCCTCAGTCCAGCTCACTCACCACTTCCTGGATTTGTGGTGGCTTTTCAAAACCGCTTGTACACCATGTCTGATTGTAAATATGTTATGCATCACAAGTTACAAACATAGGTCTGAAGTAATTCATGCAGTAGGTCTAAAGTAATTCTAAAGTAATTGTGCATTTACTAAAAATATCAAATATTTCATATGTACTTTCATATATTTCATATGTGTCTTGAACACTACACAAAATGCTTGTTAAAGTGGTTCCACTATAAGTGTTTAGCATCATCCAGTTCCTCTCTCTAGTTCTAAATTAAAGGTGAAATGTGTTATTTTTAACCATGTTTTGAGGTCTGCACTCTGCACTCATACAAATATATACACACATATAGGGAACTGAAGACACCAAGTGATAAAGTGTTTCAGATTTTTGTCTCATTCGTCCTGCAAAGAAAAAAGTCTTGAGCCTGGTTTATACCTCTGTTAAAGGTCCCATGAAATTGAAATAAAAATTTCTAGATATTAGTTTCACTCTGTTAGTCTGAAGGATATCTATAAGGCAGTAAAGCTCCAAATCGGTGATATAATTCATGTTTAGAGAATATAAAACTTGAATTAACACCTAAAGGGTCGCCACCACTGTTGCCAACTATTTTCAATGAAAAGGTGCTAAGCTCTTCCCTAAAAGTCACTATAAGTTGCTAGATTACGTCATACACTAATTTGCAAATTACTGACGTCATCACATTCTACCATTTCTGTTTATTTAACAGCCTATAATAAAAGTATATTTATAGGATATTTATATTTGCACTACGCTTTATGTAAGCATGTCAATTTAACAACATTTATTGCTGTTTGAATACAGATTATCAGTAAAGATGTGTTGTGAATTTGCAGTAATCTCTTAGACGTAATAAACTCTGGAAGAATAAGTTCTGAAACTCTCACCTAAAATATCTGTGATTGTGAACAAGAAAATAATAAACGATCAAATTAAATAGTTTAAATAAAGGGCAGCCGATCGGTTTGACTGTCAAGCTGCAGGTGGAAGAGAGGCTGCTGTACAAGGACTGGGCCGCCTGTCAGAGGAGCCGGCGGCATCCCCCGCAGCTTGTTGAGAAGAGTAGGGACAGTACAGTACGGACACGCGAGAGTCTATAAAAATCTCCAGTAACACACAAAAAGTCGCTAACACTGGTTGCCATTTCCGCCTAAATCGACCAACATTTTTTTAGGTCACCTAATTCTTGTCTCATCAAATCTTGACCAATCAAATGCTCTCTGATGTCTGACATCCCCCGCCTCCTTCAAGATGCTTCTCATTTGATTTGCTTGAGCTCAAGCACTCTCACTGGCAGAGCTGTGATAAAAACAAAATGCTATTGGCTGTTTCTTTAAAAAAAAAGGAGAGGAGGAGGCCCTGCCCCTGCCTATGGCCCTGTCTTCTCTTCATTTTTCAATAGAGACAACGTCAAACATCGAATAAAAAAAATGCACATTTCAGACAAAAAATTGAGCAGACTGTGTGAGACATCAGTTTGAATGAATCTCTTTACTTTGGGTGACATTACATTACAGCCCAGAATGACTCTTTCAGTTTAAACATTAAAATCAAAATGCAAAAATAGTAAGGCAACATTTTATTTTGTTAAGATGCTCTTTATTCCCAATGTAATTTCTAAATTACAATTAATTATGCATATTTACAAAGTCATACATCGCATTTTAAAACTATTATATAATAAGTTCATGTAAATGAACATTAATTTAGTTAATTAAAAGTTATACTGTAACAAACACTTAAAAAAAACAGTAATCAATAATAAAAACTAAAAATAATGAACAATCTTTATATTTTTTCAGTTAGACAACATCAGCAGTTGAAAAAAACATTTACAGATATGAATTTAGCAATGTAGACAACTAATGCATTTCACACAAAAAAATCAGTCTAGTGTGTTGACTGACTGTACAGCAATAGCAGAAAGAGAATTGTTATATCAGCAGTTTTCTTATCTTATTCAGGTGGATGTGCAGAAAACTGTAGATGTGTGAAACGCAGAAACACCATCTGAAAGACACAATAGAGAATTTTAGAAGTGAACATTATGTATATTTAGCACACGCTCGTTTCAGTATGTAACAGTTATGGGAAAGAAATTTGAAATATATTGTTTCAACAACTGCTGTTTAGTTATTGTTGAAGAATAATAATCTTGATTTTATCACTAATTAAAAGGCTATTTAAAAATAATAATAGAAATGAGAATTTGTTAACACGTCTTTCAGTAAATGTGTTCATACTAACCTTTATAGTAATAATTATGAACTGAGCTCTACTGGTTTATAAGTATCTAAATTAAACAAGGAAAAGATTTTATCTTCAGTGACAGTGAGTTTAACAGGAATAGTTTGATGTCCAACAGAGCAGAAAAACCATCCAGAATCAGAGAGTCTCAGTCCAGTCATCAGCACAGTGAAGGAGCTTTCACCATCATCACTGATCTGCACTGATGAACTCTGGGATGTGTCCGTTTTCTTCTGTGAGAAACACTTCTGATCTTTATATCTGCACCAGCGTTTCTGTTTATCCTTATATCCAGAACTGTAGAAACATTGAACACTGACATCATCACCTTCATGTCCAGACACACTGCTGTTCATCACAGACACATCAGGAGCTGAAAAAACACACACGCACACACACACAGAAATTAAATTTATAAACAAAGAAATTAAAATTATAAAATGCATGTGTTCAGTGTCACTGAACTTAGCATTGAAATGTGATTGAAATATTTATACAGTAAATTCTCATACCAGAATGAACCTGCAGAAAAAGCTCATATGTGACATTCGATTTTTGTCCAGTCTCTACGGTACAATAATATTTTCCATTATGTTTGTTCTCCTGCAGGTTCCTCATAGTCACAGTGAAGAGACTCTGATCAGGATGATCAATAACTGACAGATTTTCCTCTGTTGTGTTTGTGTATTTACGAGATTCACCAATTACTGAGTACCAGTATTTCTTCTGTGGTGGGTTTTTCTCATCATAATAACATGGGATGGTGACAGATCCTCCAGGCTTAACAGTTATTGTATGATTTGACCCACCTTCAAAGCTTTCAACACCTAAACAAAAACAACACACAAATATTATTATATCCAGGATTAAAATAAATCAATTAATCTTCTATACATGTTGTAATATGTTCTACATTCACATAAACATGATGAAACCACTATGAACAGTGAAGAGTAAATTGTCTTTAAATTGTTAAATTGATCTATGAAATATTCAATACTCACCCAAAATCAGCCAAAATCCAGCTGTAATGTAAAACATTTTTGCGTCCGCATGTGCAGCAATTGCATTTGTCTTTGCTTGTGCTTCCTCTATGAGGTTTTCACAGCACTGCCACTAGTAAACTTAAGTTTTATCTGCTTATAAGGAAGAAAAATACTCTTAGACCTCTTGCACCACATAACCAAGAGGCGTAAAAAGCATCTGTTATTAAACAGTTTCCATATTTTGTGATTCACAAGTGTTTTCCATTTAGTTGTGAATTGCATTATGGGATGTTGATCTCTACTCTGTTGACTTTTGATGTTGAAAATTCAACTCTACAGTTTAACAAAGTGACTT